AAATTTTTTATTGAAATTTAGTGATGTTGAAATGAGGAGAGAGAAAAAAAAAAAGTTGCAAATGATAATTTAAAAACTAGGAAGATTCAAGTGTATACGAATGAATCATTTAATAATATTCTCTACTTAGGGTAAGAAAAATTTTTTGATACCCATTATTTTCTTCCTTTCACTTTCATTTATTCTTTTTTTTTTCTATCTTTTAAGGAAAAAAAAAAAAAAAAAAAGGGTAAATCAACCAAACTTCCCCTAGGGAAAATGTATTGAGATAATGGTTAAATTTAAATAACACAGAAGAATATAATAGCATTTTTTCTCGAAAAAAAAAAAAAAACTTTTTTCCAGTATTTTGCATGATGTACGGAAAAGTACAATATAAGATGCTAAATACAGCGTAAATTTCATTTTTCATTTTTTTTTTCGAAATGCTTTTCCAATTTTTGCATGAATGAATAAATAAATGTATGAATTAATTTTTGGATGCTAAAATAACGAATAAAGTAATAGTTGAAAAAATGTTGGATAAATTTAAGTGAAATTAAATGTAGACAAAAAAGATATTAGGAAATAATCAAATATTCATTTGTGATATTATATATAAAAATTCGAACAATAATATCTTCTACTGCATTTTTTATTTTTTTTTTATTTTTATTTTTTTTGAAAATATGAAAAATTATTTTGTGGAAAATAATTTTAGATAAAATGGAATTAATTTATAAGTAAATTAAAGTAGTAGTAATATTATGAGAAAAGAGAATACTATAGATATTCCCAAAAAAAAAAAACAAATTTGTTTATTAATTTGAAAACTTTGAAAAGTTATGCATTAAAAATTTTGCTAATATTTTTTTAAATATTTAATTTTGAACAGGAAAATATATTTTCTCTTCAACGATTTCCGAGAGATTTTTAAACTTTCCTCTTTTTCTTTTTTTTTTTTTTTTTTTTTTTGTAAAAAATAAGTCATTTTTTGTTTTTAGTTATAAATTTAATTTTAAACTAAAATTTTATGCAACTTAATCGTTTCTTTTTCCCTTTTTTTTTTTTCGTTAGCATATTTGACATTATTAATTTTAGAATAACATTGTTAAAATTTTGAACAAATAAGAAATTGTAATAAAATATTACTTTGTTAAAAATATTTTTAACAATGTACTTAAATTAGCTTGTCATATGATTAAATTTTGATTATAGCTTTATAATTTAATTATTGTAATATTAGTGTGTTCTAATATTTAGTCAAATGAATTATAATAATATGAAATTGATAATAGAAATTGTGAAAGAAAAATTTATTCGAATATTAAATCAAAAACAAGAGGGAGAGAGAGAGAGAGAGAAAAAAAAAAGTATTTTTTTAAAGTTTACTGATTGGAAAATTGGTAATAAATGAATATTACAGTGAAAAAACAAAAAAAAAAAAAAAGGAATACAATTGATAGAAGTACATTATGAGTAATTTTAGGAAGTAAATAAAAGAATTGAAAAATTTAAGCTATCTTGAAACATTTAATATTAAGCAGATTCGATGTACTTCTTAATAAAAGAATGAGAGCGAGAGAGAGGGAGAGGGAGAGAGAGAGAAAGAAAAAAAGAAAGAATCAAATTACAGCTTATCATGAAAGAAATGAATTTCTGTTTTCTTTTTTAGTCTTTTTTTAGTATTTTTTTTAGTTTTTTTTTTTTTTTATAAAATGAAAATCATATGAAATGGAATAGAAAGAAAGAAAGAAAGAGAGAGAGAAAGAAAGAAAGATGAGATGAGATGTGATGTTATCTTTTTATCATTTCATTTTTAATGTCAATTATGCAAGCACATTGATTGTGACTGAGTGTTCTTGATGAGAGTATTATTTGCGCTATTATAATAAAGTACACGAGAGAGAGAGAGAGAGAGGGAGAGAGAGAAAAGCAATTTAAAATTGAAATAAAAATTTCAATGTTTGAAAGATAGACAGGAGAAGAGAGTAAAGCTTTAGCTTTAAACTCTAAAACTATCTATTCATCTATTTATCATAAAATAGAGTTAGTTAGCTAGCTAAGCTGAACAAAATGATACTAGAAGTAGACTAGGTAAAAAGTTATGTTTACAAATTTATCAAATTTTTTTTCAATTTAAAAAATTTATACCAAACACATATATATGGTTGCATTTCATCCTAATTTCTTCTATCTGGAAAAAAAAAATTATTTGCCTTTTTTTTTTTTTTTTCTCAAAGCAAAATGAAAAGTTAATTTGAAATTATTTAGTGCTAAAATGAAAAAAAAAAAAATTTATGATAGTAAAATATGCTTGTTAGATTGTTTGTTATATTGTATTGTCATGTTGAAGAAGCATAAAAGAGGAAAAGGTAGAATATGCTAATTTTATTTAAATCTTATTCAATAACTTTCTCTCTCCCTCTTTCTCTCTCTCTCTCCCTCTCTCTCTCTCTTATTCACCCTTTCTCTTCCACCTTTTCTTTTTATTATCTATCATTCCTTGAAAATTATTTTTGCAAAAAGGAAGAAAAATGAAATGAGAAGATTGAAAAAGATAATATTTTCTTTGCCAAAATATTATCTCATTTCAATTGTTTATTCTTTTTTGATGAAATTGAATTTTTTTTTTTTTTTTTTGCAATGTCTGTTGATTGAGAAAACAATGAAAATAAGCAATTTTGCAAAAAAAAAAAGAGAGAGAGAGAGAGAGAGAGGAAAAGATAAACAAAATTGAAATAATCGCTGTAAAAGGAAAGATAAAAATTTTTTTTTTATTTATTCTTTTACTATTAACAATTTTTCAACATTAAAAATTAAAAATGGATTAAATCTATAGTTTATTTGTAAAAGTTTTTTTAAAAAAAAAGGAAAAATTCTTGAAAAATTCCATAAATTAAAATATAACAAATAATGCTAAAAAAGTGTTTTTTTAAAAATAAGAAAAAAAAAAATGTGCCAAATATTAATAATCACAAATTTAGTTGTATTTTATAATTTTTCCACTAGCAGTAAAATTATTAATTAATTGCTTATAAAAAAAAAATAATAAAGCAATTATTCTCGCTGTAACATTTTCAAAAAAAGAAAAAAATGATTTGACTAAGATAGATGTTACAAAATCATTAATAACAAATGTAAAAAAAAAAAAAAGAAATTAAAAAAATTCCTAAAAATTTAAATTTGAATAAAATGAAATTTGATTAAGAATTAATTGTTTATCAGTTCTGAAATAAAAATGAAAAAAAAAAAAATTTAAGCAATTAAAATATTTTGAAAAAAAAAAAAAAAAATGCAAATAAATAGCATACATACATATATATTTTATATACAAAAACATTTTCTGAAGTTTTTTTTGCCTTTTTCTTCCTTTTTTTTTTTGACAAAATAAAGATTTTGCACTTTTGCAAAATAGCAATCAACAAAATCAGTAAGTATACAAACATTTTCTCTCTCTCCCTCCCTCTCTCTCTCTCTCTCTCTCTCTCTCTCTCTCTCTCTTGTATCTTTTTTTTTTAAAGTGATTATTTATGTTGAAATTACAAGTTATTAAAACAAGTCTTTTTGCTTTATATACCATTACGGTTTGCGTATTTCTTCAAAAAATTGACATAAGAATGAATTTTGTGAAAAAAAGTTGAATGAACAAAATATTTCAAAATTTAAACATAGAATAATTCATTTAGTTTCTTTTTTTTTTTTTTTTAAAAAAAAAAAATTTTTTTTCAAACAATACAAATGGAAATCAAATATTTTAGTTAAAATGAATTTGAAAAGAAAGCAACGAAAAAAAAAAAAAAAGAAAAATTTTTTTTTTCATTTCATCGATTGATGCCTGCTATTGCATATATATATATATATGTATGAAAGATTTTTTATAAAACTTTAAAATAAAATTTACACCTATGAAAAGTACAATTTTATCTCAAAATAATTTAATTAAATGATTATTATTATTATTAATTCAAATATGGTAATTAAAGTTAACGAAGTAAGAAGTAAGAAGTAGATCGATAGATTTAAAAAAAAAAAAGAAAATGAAAAAAAAAAGAGAGAATATATTTTAATAATACTACTTCTATTTATTTATTTATTACAAAAGTACTTCTAATTCTTCGTTCAATATTCTTTTACATCATTTTTCTCTCTCTCTCTCTTTTTTTTTTTGCTATTTGCTTATATTTCACTTGAAATATTTTTAAATTGTTTAGTACTGAGATTAAAATATAAAATAATATGAGACAATCTGATAGAGTTTTTTTTTTTTTTTTTTTTTTAGAAAATTTCTAGATTGAAATAAAAGTGCAAAGATATTTTAAAACTTATGATTAGCTATAATCTTATGAGTAAGAGGAAGAAGAAAAAAAAACCAATTTTAGAAATAATTCCACAGAAATAGGAATATGAATAAAAATAATGTGAATTTTTTAACAATTTAAATTTAAAAGGAAAAATTAAATTATAGTAGGAAAAAATTAGTTTTAAGAATATTTTAAGAATAGTTGGTAATGAAACATGAATTTTCCAATCGATATTTTGATGATTATTTTTTCATATGAAATTTAAATTATGGTTTATTATAATTAATTAATTCTTCTCACTGCATTTCAATTCTCTTTTATGCTCATTTGAAGATAATATGTAAAGCATCAAAGATTTAATTTCTTTGAATTATTTCTAAAAAAGGTTACTTATTATTATTGTTTTTTTTTTAGACTATTTATTTCTCAGTTAGTAGCTTTTGTTATGAATCATTGATTTTTTTTTTTTAAATTTTAATCAAAATGAAATAGAATTAATTTTAATGCATGGTAAAAAATTATAAACTTTTTATTTTTAATTGAGTTTTAGTCTACAAATTTTATGATCGACAAGTACTTTTCATTCAAAAGTATAGTATATGACAAAAAGTTGACGATATAATAAGTAATAGGTAATTATAATGTGATATTAATGAGTAAATATAATTTAATAATAAAGAAGTTAAAAAGTAAATATAAATAAATTGCAAAAGTTATTCATACCACAGCTATAAATGTTATAAATGCTAAGAATTACAAGTATGAACAATTTTTAGTTAAAATGAAATAATCAATTGTTGCTAACCGTTATTGATCACAATTTAACAAATTCTTTGAGAAACAGTTGCTAGCCAATAAAATGTAAATTCATAAATTATTGGCATAATAATGTAAATTTATAAATTACTGACATAATAGCATTGATTTGAAATGTTTTAGTTGAAATAAATCAATTTAACAATTTTCAGTAATTAATTAAGCACTAAATTTGATGTCAATTTATTGAGCTATTTGAACTCAAAATTATATTACATTTTGTCGTTAAGCAATCAGTAAAAATTTCTTTTTTACATGTAAAAAGAAAAGTTTTTCTTTTTTTTTTTTTTTTTTTTTTGATTTTTTTCATTATTTTTTTATTATTAATTAACAATCAGATTTAAAAAAGTTTTGTTATATAATTCTTTAACTTTCAACAGTTATGTAGTAGTAATAAATGTTATTAATGTTAATTAATATAAAATGAAAGTTAATTAAAATATGATTGTAAAAGACACCAATAATTATTACTGATAACAATTATCATTGTAATATTTAAAAAAAAAAAAAAAAAACGACAAACCGTTAGCTAATTTGCTTGCTTCCATTAAAATGTCGAACATTTGCATATGATTGAATTTTAATTCATTGAACATAAAATAATTATGATCCATTTGATAGTACCGTACCTGAAGCGATGCTATTTGCAGGTAGCATTCACCATACGGTATATTACTGATTTTAGAACTACCGTATCGCTGTTCACGAAAAATATATGCAACTGTAAGCCAATTCATCCGATCAAAAATCATGCGAATTGCTTTAGTAAGTATTTTATATGGACTAATAATACGAGTTAACAATTTATATTCTTGTTTGTTATCCAAGTTGCTTGTTAGGCCAACTGTTGTAATTACCGGAATACCATTATTTGTAGCACTTTTCCAATACGGTGACATTCGGGCTACCGATTTTAAGGCATTAACAAAAGCATATCCAATAATACAGTCTAGTTTAGCTGTCACCAATTGACTGATTGCAACATTAGGACCGTCTGCATCTGATAAGCGAGTATCCTTGAAATGCAACCGTAAGGAACCTTTTGGTACCAATTTGTTGTGGTATACTTTTTCCAGAGCTATGTCCACAACTGGTCGCACTAAATCCATCGTAATACCAAACGGATTCTTTGTAAGCTCACCACGTTTAATAGGAACCGGAAAAAGGATATGCATTGGATGCTTTGATGAAATATCAGTAATTACATTCCGTTCCTGTTGAATTCTCTGAATGAAACGATGACTTTGAATGTGTCGTAAATGTCGTATGTTATGTTGAGATTTCAGGATTAAATTTTCTTGAACAGAATTTGAGCAAAATAAGAATTGAAAAAGAAATAAGTAAAATAGCATTGAAAATTCATTAATTACAAACATATTCGTCCCATTACAAAATCTTTAATATTAGAGTGACAAAGAATTTTAGTCATTTCAACAATTTTTCAATATGATCAATGATTATTGCTAATTTCCTTTTCACTAATATTAGAACTCGAGTGCTGGTCACTACTGGTCACTAATATGTGAACTTGATATCTTTTGTACTGATTGCCCTGCAACAGTAGAATTTCTAATTTTCTTGAACATTCATTTAGCATTGAAATAAATATTTATATGTATTGATTTCTCCCCCCCCCCCAAAAAAAAAAAAAAAAAAGAAATTAAAAGTGCAATATATTTAACTTTGTACTAGCAGTATTAATTGTAAAATGAAAAATTAAAAGAATGATAGATATAAGAATGTTTTTTTTTAAAAAAATTATTCTTTTCAATTAAGAAAACTTTAATTGAATTAAAAAAAATGAAACAATCAATACTCTAATCTTCTTTTACAAAATTATTTTCATGATCATAAATATTACTGTTAAATTTGGGAAAGAACAATAAGGCTTAAATATCTTATAACTTGAAATTAATGAAAAAGAAGACGATTTAATTAAGGTGAGGGAAAATGACTGTTAGCATAATTGGATAATAGAATGAGCTTATAATTAAAATAGCTGTTTGTTGTACAATAATTACATCTTAATAAACTAATCATTTTTATGTCATTCATATACATCAGAGCTATGTGCTAGCAATTTAAATGTTAAGTTTAAAAATGATAATAGTATTATACCAATTTCATTAAATTAATGAATTTTATATTAAAAATATTAAACATGTCAAAAACGAATTGCACGAATAAATTTCATTGTAATCATCACAAGAGAATGAGAAATTTTAAAGAATCTGAGAGCTATTACTTTTTTTTTTCTTTTTTTTTTTGTTTTTTAAAAGTCTCACTTGAGAGAAATTTCAATTTGATCCACTTCCACTGAAATTTCGTTTCCTCCTGTGGTTTTCACTTCATCAGTAGATAATTTGCTGCAAATAAACAATTCAAAAGTAATTGGAATGCAAATTGTTTTTCTTCATTTCATTATATGTATCAAAAATATTTTAACATTTTAGAAGCATTTTTAAAATCAATCTGCAAACAATTTCAATAAAACGAACAATTTTTTCTCTACCTTAAAATTTCCATCAAATATTTTTTTATTTCTCTCTTTTATTGATAATATAAGATAAACGCTAAATGGCACTAATAGAAGTGATTGTGAATGTTATCATTGAATGATATTACATACAGTAATTCAATATTATCGTAATCATTCCTCAATGATAGCATCTCATACAGTAAGTCAATATTATCGTAGTCATTTTTCAGTGATGACATCTCATACAGTAATTCAGTATTATCGTAGTCATTTTCAGTGATGATATTTTGTACAGTAATTCAATATTATCATAATCATTTTTCGGCGATGACATCTCATACAGTAATTCAATATTATCGTAGTCATTTTTCGGCGATGGCGCTTTATACAGCAATTTAGTATTATCGTAGTCATTTTTCAGTGATGATATTTTGTACAGTAATTCAATATCATCGTAATCGCTTTTAAAAAAAATTTTTTTTAATCATTTGATTCTTTCTTTGCAAAGCATTAGATTACAATGCAATCATTTTTCTGCATAAACATTTCTCGTTAAATCTTTTTCAATTTTGTTCAGATTATCTTTTAGACTTTTGCAGATAAATCTTGTGATCATTTCATTATATAAAAGCTTCTCGATATATAATTATTGGCACATAATCGATTTAAAAATTTTCCTTTATATTTACCTTTACTTTTTTAAAATTTCACCATAAATTGCTTTTTTTTTTTTAAGTTAATCTAGATCTTCATCTTCGATATTCTTTGGTCTCATCATTTCTTTCATCAAATCAAAATCAAATTTGAAATTATATATAGTAACATGTATGTTAGTTTATCTCTTAACCATTTCATCTTTCAAATTTTTTATGCCAAAGTCAGAAGTGATTAGAAATGAAAATTTATTATAATTTGAAACAGTAGGAGAAATTTTTGTAGATTAGCTTAAATGATTGCCAAAATCAATCATCCTTTTTCTCTCCAATATTCCCAATTTTGACAAATTTCTTTCTTGGCTTTTTGCAAGCTAAAATATTGAAATTTCATTTTCTTTTAGCTAAAACAATCATTTCATTTTTATGATTCAGTTAAATTAAGAGTTCTGAAGAAGCTCTTAGTCACAAACTGAGACAAACCTAGCAATCTTTTCAGGATTCATCTCGATGGCATCTGAGAGAGTACAACCAAAGCAGATCTATTGTATTCCGAAAAGTTATTTCCTTTTCAAATTTCAATATTTTTGTTAATAAATGTCTTTTTTTCTCTAATGCAATATTTTGCAAATTTATTGTATTATCTATTCGTTCTACTTTTTTTTGGACTATTTTATAAATTTAAAAGCAATTAATGGATGTTATGTGTGCCATTTAAGCACATAATATTAAATTATTTTCAAAACAAATATTATACAGTTTATACTATATAATCCATTTATTTTTGAATTTTGTTAATTGTTATTAACATATAATTTCGTAAATTTTAGTTTCATTCAACTATAAATAATTGCTAAAGTATGTTTATACTTGAAAAATTTGCAGTAACAAATTGAATGACTTCTACTGTAACAAAATTGATCAATAAATGTAGACTTAAAAGTACTTTCAAGAGATTTCAAGCGAATTAATTGCTTTCTTTTGAAAAAAAAAACTTTCTTTTGTTTAGATAGGCCAAGTAAGTAAGACAGAACTAGGACATTTTCAAAATATTATATTACAAATATACTAAAAACTTAGCTTAATGCTTTATCAATAAAGAATGAAAAGTAATTCTTGCTTTTCTATTATTTTGTATTTCTTTTTTTCTCTTTTTTTTTGTGAACATTTTGCTAAACATTGATTCTGTCATTTTTATAAACTCTTATTAAGAGTTGAAAAGTGCTTAAATTTGTGTTACTAAAGTGTTCCAAACGTTTAAAAGTACATGGAAGACGTTTAATTTGGTTGAATCATTCAATAAAGGTATTTGAAATTCACTAAACCAAATTGAAGCTATAAAATAATCTTCAACAACAACAAAAAAAAAAAAAAAACTTCAGATCTTAAAAAAAATTTCCACGAAAATTTCTTAATATTAAAAAAGGAATCCACTAAATCATTTGAAATTCAAAACGAAAATTTTCACCCAATTTAATTTTCAATTTCGTTTAACAACTATCAAGTTCCGTCTTTGCTTTAAAAACTGCTGCTATTATATTTAAAAGACCCATCAAGTACTTGAAATTGTATGATAGAATGTTGAGCAATATTTATGCATCTAAAAAAAAAAATAAAAATTGAAGGGTACGATTTACAAGAATAAATAATACATGCTTCTTAAATATTTGCTAGTTCGTTTTTTTTTAAAAAAAAAAAAAAAGTAGATTTTAAATATGCAGATTTTATATTTTTCAATTAGTTTTTGAAGTAAACAACTGAAAATTTCATCAACTTCTTATAGAAAAAAAATATTTTCATATGCATAATTTTATGCTTTATTATTTTTCAATTTAAAAGTTCATCATTTCTAACGAAAATTATGTTTGAAAATGATTTGAAGAGGGACTGACTGATGCACGCTTTAATTTAAAGGCTATAAGATGAAAATTTTCATCAGTTTGGCACCCAATTTAAAATGAAATTAAATGTGGGGGCGAGATATGTCCAATGAAACCAGAGAATCTACTTATGTCAAATTGAATTCAATCGAAGCTACTTAAACTGAATTAGTTATATCGAATTTCCATCGATACTGAAATACTGAAAAAAAAAAAAAAAAACAATTCAGAAAGTTGGCAAATGGTCATTGTTGGCCTAATGAGTCGAATTAATTAAATTAAATTGATACTGTCAAATGTGCTAGTGTCATACAAATTGATAGCCTCAAATGTGATATAAGATTTGAAACTGAAGGAAAGTTTGCGATTATTATTACTATTACTTATGCAAAATCATTATTAATTATGATCTTGACACAGCAGCTGCTATCATCATTATCACTATCAATAATTTGTGATATAACATTCATGAAATTGATTGTTTAACTATAAAGTGGACAAATTAATTGAAAAGATAAACTATTATTTTAATAGATTTGAAGACTGAAGCAATAAGCATTATCACCATAAAGTGCTTATCATAAAATTAATTATCACAAAGTGCTGCTCAATAATGAGTGTAATTTATTTTTGGAAAATATGCAAATGACATAACATAAAAATTGGAACTTATTGCCATCACTGCTACTAAATCAGTACTTTTATCAATTGTTAGATTGGATAACAGTGCCAAATTCTTCTTAGAAATAAACGTTAAAAATTAAATCAACCAATTTTTGTTGAATCAAAAAATAATAAAAGGTGCTCTAATATGATCTATGTTGGTTGATTTTAGGTTTCCAAATGGTATTTTTAAAAAGATGTCGAAAATTTGCACTAGAAATTTGGTAAAAAGAATATTGTATCTGTAAGATTTATTATGATAATATTGTAAATCGTTGCTTACTTTATCAAAATTAAATTTTCATTTTTGAATGTTTCTTTTTTTTTTTTTTTGTAAAGTATTATTAGCAAAAAAAATTTACTTCGATTTTTTAATTGTATCAGATATAAGTGAAAAAAAAAGAAAAAAATCCAGTGATGATCTATGATTAGTAAATCATAGAGCATTTCAACTGGCAATTATTACATAATCAAAATTAGTAGTGCAAGCAAAATGTAAT